TGTGTGTGTGTGTAGTAGTAGTGTAGTATATATATATATATATATATATATATATATATATGTATATGTATGTGTGTATTTGTATATATATATGTATATGTGTGTATGTGTATGTATGTATATATATATATGTGTGTGTGTGTGTGTGTGTGTGTGTATTGTATTACTCTGTCTTTGTAAACTTCTACCGTATAATGTCACGCATTCAGTACGTTGAGCAAAACCATCTCGATCTACCCGCTATTTACACAGCCCTTTGATATACTTGAACTCACCTTATCGTATACATATGCATTGGCTTGCTCTTTGACTTGGCATGTGTGTACGCCTACGCCTTTCCAATGCGCTGATGACTGTATTGCATCTCGCGCGTCGCCGGTGCACATATCACCCAAATATATGCGGAAACAAAAAAGCCAATTCCCGTTTTTGAGTTGAGCGTATTTCTGGAATGAATCCCGATTTAGCAGTGTGTATCATTATCAACGGCCGTACTCATCCTTTTCGTTGCCATGGCTACCACTGTAGGTACTTGGGGCATGGAGGGGGTGAGAAGTATCTCTCACGGAACAAGGTACGTCCGGCGTTTGTGGCCCATTGGCACTCATACGTGTTTGCATACACGTGTACGTGTCAGTTGTGTGTGTTGGTGTACCTGAGCACGTCTCAAAGGCAATGTGTTTGCGCGTGTATATGTACATCTCAATATGTGTGTGTGTGTGTGTGTGTGTGTGTCTGTTTGTGTGTCCGTGTGTGTTTCTGTGTATTTGTGCACGTGTGCATATGCCAATATGTATGTGTGCGTTTACTGTGAGTGTGCGTGTGTGTGTGTTAATGTCTTCATAGGTATATTCAGTGCATCCTGTGTTGCCTGTCTGTCTGTATATGGTTGGTTTCACATCTGTGACATATTTTAAACCCCATCCTCATCTGACTATGACTACTTGCTGGCCACTTCTACTGGTCCTTTCCTAGATTAAATTGACACTGATTCATACGCGAAATTATGTCAACGACGTACGTTCATATCCTACTTCCCAAAAATAAGATATATATATATGTATGTATATATGTATATATATATATAGTCGGATTTGTCTCAAACACATTGCCCTATACCCGAAATTCGGACACACTCATCGGTTCATCCCGGCCTTCAACCCATGCTCTGATCAACAAACGAATTGATACAAATCGGGTCGATTGCACTTTCAGAATTGATACAAATCGGGTCGATTGCACCTTCAAGTGCAATCCAGCCAAAACAAAAGATACAAATAAATAGGTAAAATAGGTACATTCCTGAATGCATCTCTTCACCCCCGTTCACTTTAAATTGAAGTCGATTAGCCAAAACAAGATAGTACACTCCCTATGTGATATGATTCCTTTCTTGAATGTATCTTTTTATCACAGTATCGTAGGGCATTCAACCACCTGATTTTCCTAAATGTGATCTATTCAGATCCAATCCTGAACTGTTACCTAAACACACCCATACCCAATAGTCTTCTATACCTCTACCCGTTCCTAACTATCATCTTATGACACATTCCCAAGCGTAACCTCATCCAATCAGACCCATTTCTACACTCCAATATATCCAGATTCAGGATCTGAAGTGTCGTGCTGTTGCGCTGCTATTGGGATGCAGCAGTGGACGTCTCAAGGACAATGGCGACTTCGACTCAACGGGCACACCCCTGTCTTATATGCTAGCGGGTTGGTATGTGTTCGTAGTGCACTTATGTATTGCTTGCGTGTATATAGAGTGTACTATAGCTTGTCGGTTGATGTATGTACTGTGCGAAACGATATATGTAGCTAAAATGAAATGATATTTATATATATGTATGTATGTGTATATATATATATATCTATATCTATATCTATATCTATATATATACATATATATATATATATATATATGTATATGTGTATATATATATATATATATATATATATATATATATTATGTGTATGTGCATGTGCATGTTGTATATATGTACATTTTTGCATGTGCATTCCGTGCTAGGCCACTTTTGTATCATTCCTTCCTTCATTTCGCCTAATATATACCTCGTTTCCCTTTGCACCAGTCCTGCGGCGCTGGGGCTGCTGTGGGATGTGACTGACAAAGACATCGACCGGTTTGCTCAGCAGTTGCTGTCGCTGTGGATTGACGAGGAGGATGCCATGTCTCTCTGTATGTGCACATATCTCTATCTCTGTGTGCGTTTTGTTCACGTTGTTGGTGTGGGCCTTGCTGAGACATATATCATGTCTTTCACATGCCTACTTGCATATATCATGTGTCTTTCACATGCCTACTTGCATATACCATGTGTCTTTCACATGCCTACTTGCATATATCATGTGTCGTTCACATGCCTACTTGCATATACCATGATATGATACAATACACTTATGGCCATGTATACACATGTATACTTATACAATACACATATGGCCATGTATACACATGTATACATATACAATACACCTATGGCCATGTATACACATGTGTGCATATACAATATACCTATGGCCATGTATACACATGTATGCATATCGTTTTCCTCATCGGATATGTAACGCCTTATTAACGGGACCATCTAATTTCGATACAAGCTTTGATGCGGAAGCATTCGCAGCCGTTGTGTAATCATGTGATCGGTAGAACTCGTTAAGTCTACGCACGCTGGTGCTGTCTGAGTTCAAAGTCTTGCTTCTTTCTCGGAGTGTATTGCCCATTTTTCTATTTCCGTCAACTTAGTACAATCTAATGTCTGTTTTGTATACATGCATGTAGCTGTATCTAACGTTGTCTGAATATTCAATTGATTTCAAGTGCTGTGTAAGAGTACACACACGGCGCAAAGTTCTTGGATAATCTTGGCGCCTATCGCTTGTACTTCTGAAGGCTTCTCGGGTTCCACCACTATACAGTGGAAGCACATATATATATATATATATGCATGCATGCGACTGCCACAAGCCACTCGCATATATATATATATATATATATATATATATATATATGTATATGTATGTATATATATATCTGTGTCTGTGTCTGTGTCTGTTTCTATGTGTTTGTCAGTGTCTGTGAGTATATAAATTATTATTTTTTATTTTTGGTTTATTGATGGATTGATTGATTGATATTGACATAACGATATGATGTATATAGTTTCCATGTTTTATGTTCAAATTTGGGTGGGTAATTATCTACCAACAGTGTCCGCAGCACGGCTCAGAGAACCAACCATCCCAGATAGATACCCTCGTTGCTATAGCAACACACCCCTGAAGATGCACCTTTTACTAGTCCAACACTGCGCAATATGATGAGTCACTTGACACTCATATCATGTGTCTAGCTGTTAACGTGACATCATCATCCACCTACCTTATCACATGCAAATACATGCGCGATAGTGCTATGTTATAGCTAACCTGATTTACTGATGTAGACCACCCGCGCTACCCACAATATATTAACTTTAACTCCTACTTATGTTGTTTAACAGCAACTGCTACAACCATGTCTCGCCGGGTGTGTAAGTTTGAGTTATTGACAGGGGGTGCAGCAGTCGTCTACGGCATTCCGGCATATGCCAAGAAGAGCACAGAGAAGTGAGTTACAGCATTGCCAGGCAATCATTGGTATTGTAAACCCTAGCCTGCTACAAGGATTATAACTGTGTATAGCTCCCTCCAACGGACAGTTCGGTATAAGATTAGAGCGATTGCATTAGTCCCTACCAACGGATACTTTAGTATAAGAATTGAGAGATGGCAGTTAAATGCCTCATAAAATGTGATGGATCGGACTGGACGGGCGGGCCATTGGGAAGAAGGAGTCTAGATACACAGAATGGCTACTATAGACGGGTGCCGTATGAACACTGTGTAGCGAACGGGTCCGCTTGCGGCTATGACACAGGACTTGGCTCGGGACGGCGGCGTTTGATACCAATATAGTCCAGAATACAAGTTAGGTGCACGTGAGTAATAAAGCACGCAATCCGACTTGGGGTGCGGTTCAAAGACGACCTCACAACCAAATATGTATAAACGAGCTGGAAATTCGGAACTTGTTTTTTCTAGCGTTTGTGGATTGCACTCGCCAACTGACCGGAGCGAGTGAATGGATGTGTTGGCTTATCTTTTGACTATTTTTATGAGTTGGTGGTTTCAAAAACTCGATTCACACTATTGTCTGTTGAGATACAACGAAGGATACCTATACCGTTGTGATGTGAGAGCTTTATCTTTGAGATTACGGGTTAGTGAACCATCTTTTTTTAAGTGTATAAGTAATGACGAATGTGAAGATACATACAGCAAGTGTTGCAGGTATGTTTGATGACAGTGAAGAGATTGTGGATGTGGCATCATACAGAAAATGCAAGTTTTATTGTAAATTGGCATTTTAATCGAATTCAGTGCCCTCCAAGCAGTTTCAGAATATTTCAGCAGAATTAAACAGTAGAATTTGGTACTGGGATTATTTACAACTGGAAGTCTGATCGCATGTACATGTCAGACGATCGGGCATCCTTCTCGCAGTATGACTGTGTGCACTTCTTCAAGTCACCGCACTTGTCAGACCATTGGCAACACTTCTTGTTCTTGTGGATTGGACCCTTCAACGAATCAGGATTGCGCTTTCGCTTTTAGGTGCATGTAATCCTGTACTCGTTGCTGCTTCTGCAGAAGCTCTCTGTACATTTAGACAGATCTTCACAGTTGCCAGAATATTCGCAGCACACCTTAGACTCGTCGTATGAATGTCCAGTGAATTTCTTGGTGGCACAAGTGATCTCCTGTGGGTAAGTATGAGCGCTGACTCCAACAGCGATAGCGGCGATGGTGGCGATAGCAGTGATTTTCATTTTGTAGTTTATCGTTGGAAGTATTGTGGATGATAACTTTTATCGTCGACGACTTATATATTGTTGTAGTGTGACGCTCAATCTAAGCTTACGGCACAGCTTGAAAGGGCCCTAAACATAAGGTGTGCGTCCAAATTTCATGCTGGAGAATTCTTCGTTGCCACATATACTTCGTATTCTAAAACGGGAGTACATATGTTGTTACATATCCCAAAGGTAAATACAAGATATTTCATCTTTCAGCTCATGAAACTAGAATGAACTGAGATTAGGTAAAATTTACATTTACAGCCAGTCTGATATCACGCATATATAAGAAAGATAGACATCTGGCCGTGATAGGTGCATGTTGTGGATGCTATGTTTACAGCAAGAATCTGAATACAGTTGGAGGATATATATATGAAAGAAGTATCCCGAAATGCGGAAATCGGGGGATATTTTTTACAAAAACAAAACAAACATTGTAACAAATCAAAACAAAAGTTTTATAAATACATACTCATTTGCAGTGCTTGACTATAAATTTCCGAACCAATACAAAATATTTTATTTTGAGACTTGAGTTTCAAGCACAAAAGACGATACGCGAAGTCCGATCGCTTGTAAATGTCAGATGATCGGGCATCGTTCTCGCAGTATGACTGCGTGCACTTCTTCAAGTCACCGCATTCGCCAGACCATTGGTAACACTTCTTGTTCTTGTGGATGGGACCCTTCAGTGAATCAGGATTGCGTTTTCGCTTCTCGGCGCACGTGATCTTGTACTCATTGCTGCTGCTGCAGAAGCTCTCTGTACACTTAGACAGATCTCCACAGTTACCAGAATACTCGCAGCACACCTAAGACTCGTCGTATGAATGCCCAGTGAATCCCTTGATGGCACAAGTGATCTCGTGTGTATCTGAGTGGGCGCTTACTGCAACAGCGACAGCTGCAGTGGTGGCGATTGTAGTGAACTTCATTCTGTAATGGGTTTCTTTTATTTGACTTGTCTGGCTAACAAAAACTTGTACTAATCGACTTTTATATTGTACGTTTGTATATAGCGTTTGCGTTGGAAAAATCTCAAAATTTCAGTATATACAAATCTGATATCTACGATCCATCCCCTACCTAAACACGTTGATAGGCCGAAGATTTATGCCAGTGAGCATTACGACACTGGTGTGCGCTTTGAGACACTACTCACAAATTATGGTTCCAGTTTGGAGGTTTAAAGAATTTTGACATTTATTTGCATCGCCCCGCAAATAGAATATTCCATATGTATGTATTTCAAATTTCAAATTTGCCATATATCATATATGAGATATTGAGAATCTCAATTGTCAAATCTAAAAACATCGTGGAGTGATTGAAACTGAGAAAACTTGACTCTCGAATACTTTTTATTGGGTTTTTATTGGTTGGTAACTTTTGGTCAAGCACCCTACATTCACATTGTATCAAATGTCAAAAGAGTACATAAGTGTATAATTTTTGTATATATAAAAAGCCCCGACTGGCAATATCTGCATTTCGGGATTTTTTTTTTCATCTGTTAAATCTACATAAATTAAAATTTCTTCCAACTGTATTCAGGTTCTTGTTGTAAACGCATCCACAACATGCACCTATTACGACCCAATGTCTATCATTCTGATACATTTGTGATATCATATTGGGTGTAAACGTAAGTTCTATTTATTTTTCAGTTCACTCTAGTTTCATGAGCTGAAAGATGAAATATCTTGATACCTTCGCATATGCGACAGCATATGTACTCCCGTTTTAGAATACGATGTAAATGTGACGACGAGGAATTCTCCAGCATGCAATTTGGACGGATAACTTATATTTAGTGCCATTTTAAGCTGTACAGGAAGCAGTTAAAACAATTAGATTGAGCGTCACACTACAGCAGTATATAAGGCGTCGAAAATAAAAGTTACCATCCACAATACTTCCAACGATAAACTACAAAATGAAAATCACTGCTATCGCCACCATCGCCGCTGTCGCTGTTGCAGTTAGCGCTCATTCTTACCCACAGGAAATCATTTGTGCCACCAAGGGATTCGCTGGACATTCATACGACGAGTCTAAGGTGTGCTGCGAATATTCTGGTAACTGTGGAGCTCTGCCTAAATGCACAGCGAACTTCTGTAGCAGCAGCAATGAGTACAAGATCACGTGCGCCGAGAAGCGAAAACGCAATCGTGATTCGCTGAAGGGACTCATCCACAAGAACAAGAAGTGTTGCCAATGGTCTGGCAAGTGTGGTGACTTGAAGAAGTGCACGCAGTCATACTGTGAGAAGGATGCCCGATCGTCTGACATTTACAAGCGATCAGACTTCCAGTTCTAACGACGCACAGCTTAAATTCTGCTGTGTAGTCAAGTTATATTACTCACCAGAATAATAAAATGTGGAAAGCTATAGAAACAGAAATGATCTAATTGTTCGACATACTCTCCCATAAATTTGTCTAATCTAGTGCTCATATGATGTTCGTCCGCTTCCTTTTCTCTTGTGATAATCTGATATCGTGATAAGCAATGTAGCTGGTATCGTTGGTGACACTCCGGCTCCAAAGTATCACATGTAAGCAACCTTCATGCTATTAATGTCGTAGACCCCTGTCACCTAATGATCCTATGGTAAGCTAGGCGATGCCGTACATATGTACACCGGCAAGTGATTGTGTTTTGCATCATGTCATATAGTACACTGTGTTCGTGGTCAGACTCTGCTTTATTCATTCGATCACTTCCCGTTTCTAATAATTACATATTGTGGTCATCAGTTCTCACCCTGAGCGATGCTAGCTGAACTGCGGATGAGAGTTCGCAGTTTGTGCGACGAGGAACGATAACTCCAGTACAGGTGCATTAACTATACGGTTCCATACCATAAATGAGCATATATACATGTGAGTGTGCTAGATGGCACACCCACACATACACACCAAGCGTATGTCCGCAAGTATACACGTGCCAAAGCAACCCTAATCAGGTCTCTATCTATTCTGATGCAGCGTTTTATAGTCGCATCTCAGTCTGAGTGGCTATGGTTAACGTCTAACCCCCCTCAGGCATCCACTGTCACTCTCCCATCCATTCGAACTTACTACATACTAGAAACCCGTGTGGCAAATGATCAGCGTCCATACTCGCACGGACACTTAGATTTAAAACTCCACTGCACCTCTACGGATGTGCTGCAGGAAAGTCCACGTCTGCATACACGTAGAGACTCGAATATCAAGTCTATGTGCATACGCTTTATGAAAATGGGGTTGCATAAACCTAAACTACGATAACCCCGGGCACCCCACAACTTCTTTAAACTTAGTTTATGCTGGCTACAAAACTCCGCACTCACGTAATCTAGTCTGTACGCTCGTACTACGAGCGAACTATCGGAAGTAGTTTCTATCGGAAGTAGTTTGGTTTTTGTGAGGCCGGAAAGATAAGCGGTGAGATGGGATGGTGCTGTTCGTCTGCTGGAGGGGGTGCGTTAACATAGATGACCTCTCCATTGGGCAATAATAAGGGCCTTTGTTCTCCCTGAGTGAAGAGAAATGCCACAGAATTGAATCGGGATTAGATCAGCATTAGTTCAGAGTTAGTTGTCTCATCGTGTATTGAAATGTCACTGATTTGTACCGCGATCTATTCAGAGATGCCTCGTTGTGTGTATTGCCTCTGAAAGAAGTGCGCTTGTATAGAAACATTGCGCATGTACACCTGTTTCTATTCCTACTCCGTACAGTGTGATCTCCAAATCCAACATATGTAGTGTACATTAGACTATGCACAGATGTGACATACATTTCGATCCATACATATATATATATATATATATTGTATATATATATATGCGTGTGTGTGTATGTATGTATGTATGTAATATGTTTATATACATTTCGATCCATATATATATCTAATATATATATATATATGTGTGTGTGTGTGTGTGTGTGTGTGTGTGTGTATGCATGTCT